TAACATCGAAATGTAATAGTCCAGCATTGTTACCCTATTCTCTGGGTATAAGGCGCACACTTTACAGGGCTCACCTGCCTCAAAAGGCGTAAATATTTGAAGTTTTGTTTGTTATCTGTGTTTAGGTGACCTATTTCGGATACCGAAAACAAAAATATGCAAAAAGGCCGATAAAGCCGCTGCTATTGCGTAACTTCTTGCGCGTGTCGTCCCGATCATTGAGCAAGTGCGCCTTATACCCTAGAAAATAGGACAATTTTTAGTGCTGAGGTTGAGTAATTTGTAACAATCCGTGTTTGCAGAAAATGTGTACGGTTGTCACGCGAAATATTCGCCCAGAAGGCTTTTGATCCATATCGTGGCGACGAGTTGTCACCTGGTAAGGACGTCACGACGGATGCTCAAATAGATAATTTTATTAAGTAAGTTTCCAGTTCTTCATCGTCATACTATCTTTCCACATTTCGGATTAGTTCTCATGGGATTTTTAGGCACATGTCGGCATCTGCATATCATCCATCTTGTTCTTGCAAAATGGGCTCAGAAAACGACAAAATGGCTGTTGTTAATCCGGAGACGTTGACTGTCCACGGGACCAAAAATTTGAAGGTACGTGCTCAAATATTCTTTGGAAAGCTAGTTCTGGAGCAGGTGAGCAGGCCGCTTGGCCTTCACCAACCACAGCAGTTAGTTGCTACTGTGGCTGGTAAGCCCTCCACTGCTCCGGTGACGACGTCGCATGGAGGCTCTGGCTGGTTGCGGTCCTTTCCTCTGGTTGCGAAGAAATCACGATAAATCGATCTTTTTTCGCTTTTTTTATTACGTACATGCACTCTCTGAGGCTCAACTTTTACTTTTCTGAAGGTTACTCAATTTCAGGTTGTTGACGCAAGTATTATGCCGTCAGTTGTGAGTGGAAATCTGAATGCCCCTGTGATAATGATGGCAGAACGAGCAGCTGATATTGTTCAAGGGAAGCATTTGCCCCCAGAAACAGTGCCGATTTATAGTCATAGTTCTAAATAGCTTAGCTCTCAAGAAAAGCAAGCTGTGTGCTAAGCAATATGTTGGTGGTTTACACTGCAGTTAATTTAATAGCGCTAAAATTGAATCCTTGTTCTCTAATTAAAGGTAATTCTGATTTGTATTAAGACCTAGTCATTAGATAGGAAATTTCGAATGAATTTAAGATCTTCTAGGTGATCTTTTTATGAGCTATTGTCTCCAGAATCGTCTTGGTGCAATTTAACGATGGGGGAGGGGGGTTTTTTACTTTCGCTGCTTCCCATTATACGTTTCCATTTACTTTACAAGAATTGACAGGTAATCTTTACAAGAGCTGACAATAGTTTCTTAAAACTGACTTCATGAATTTACAGGATTTCATAGGTCTCGATTTGATGGCTTGACACGTCCATGTAGCAGAAGTGCAGAATGCCCCTCTCCCACCCCCGCGTCGCCAAAACTTGCCGTTAGACTTGTCTTGTAATTATATTATAAGTCAGGCCTCATGCGATTGAGGTGCGAAACTGCAGGATGAGCCTCCAAAGCCTCAAAAGACCAGAAAGCTACCCGAGCGCGAAGTTTCATAAGGCTAGGAATACTCTCTTATTGGTGCCGCTAGCTTGATATGCAACTGGTAAAGGCAAAAGTTTGGACTAATTCACGCGAGTCCGCCTGCCACGGTGGGGCTTCGGCTAGAAAGGCAATTTTTCATCCATAGGAATGAAAATCGCATTAGTCAGGTAGAGAATCCTTCTTATATTATCTAGCTGCATGTATCCAGTATAGAGTATTCGTGGCTTCTTGAGCGCTCTGCCCCACTGGCAAAGCGGACTCTTGTAAACTCCATGGCATCTGAGTTCCCCATGCGAAGCTTTGTGGAGCATAGAAATGTTGGAGCCCTTGCTGTCAAGCGGTGTTTCTAGAGCCTTAATAGCAGAGTTTTAGGAAGGCCTAGGCTGTTGACAGTTTAGTTTGAAAGTAGCTGTTTTGTTCTGGTGTTGAATTGCCGTGTAAGGCTTGTACAGGTGATTGTAACACGTGGTTGCAAAAGCTGTTTCTACCAGATATGAATGAAACAGAGTTGTTTAGTATTTCTTGTTTTCGTTAGGCGTTGTTTCAAGTCGTTTGTGGAGGAGTGTTGTCCCAGAGTTGTTTATGAGCGTGTAGATGAATATTAGCTTAGCTGAATAAAGTGTTATAAAATAATTTTTGATCATGACAGTTGTTTGAAGCAATATTATTTTGCTAACTGGTTTCAGTGGTATTTCGAAATTTCGCTTGAATTGGTATGATTTTCTTTGAACCAAGTGATTTGAGAGGATGACGTTACCGAAGTTCGAATTCTGCGATATGGCAGCGAACCCCACCGGATGGGGACCACTTGGTAATCCACCTGCTTTGGATACTTCGATTCCGTTTCAGCAGTATAACAAGGTGAGTATTGGTAAAAACTTTGAGCATTTGTCACTCACAGGTTGCAGGTATGATTCTGTTTTGAGAGCTTTTGCAGGAGATTGATGCCCTTGAAACATCCACTTCTGGTGGTGCAGTGCAACCCTACCTTCTATCTTCCTTAATTTCTCCACCTTCCTACCTTATTTCCAGTTTTTTTTTTCATATTTCTAAAAAAAAACGCTATCGTTGAGCAGGGATATAATACGTGAAACGCGAAAATCTCGACGAAAAAAAAGTCGCTTACCGAAGACCTCCTTCGTGAACCTTTCTCAACGGCAAATATGACTCCCTTGCTGGGATTCCTCACCCATATGGTGCTCTGAACAGGAATAAACTGATAGGGCACATCACTGGGTGCTAATAAACTTGTAAGGCCATTTGTAGAGATACTTTTGCAAAGCTAGGGCTCCCGCAATGCAGCTGAAGACTTCAGCCCAACCCTCAAGTGCAGCACCTTGGAGACTGTTGGGCCATTTTCAAGGACGGCAGTTTCTTTTCTTTGAGTTGTTTTCAGTTTCGCGGCGGACTTCCTTTCATGCTGTTGGGTGCCCATCATTGGGTCCGTGCCACAGGAGTGTCGCATTTTGGTACTGGGAACGTGGTCCTCTCAATCTTCATTAGTCGCCTGCAGTGATCATTTCCTTCTGAAAGCTGAAGAAGGCCTTCTTCATTCCCACCCAACCTGTTCTGCAATTTGGAAATTTTTTTCACATCTCAAAGAACTGTGTGATGTGTTTGTGAGCTGATAAAAGGGAAGTCGCCCCTTTGCCAAGTTCAGCGGCCTTTGAAAGGCGTTGTGTGGACCAAATCCCTTTCAAAACATATTAGGATGACGAACAAAAATCTGATGCGGTTTGCACCACACAAGAGGACTAGCTGATGCCCAATTATTTATTTTTCTATTCATTTAAATAATAGATCCAATTATTGTTTTAGGCTGATCGAATCGGTCGTGTTGCTGATTGGATTGGCGTGGACCGCTTCTTCTACCGTAGAGTGAATGAACGGTACGGCTAGTTCCCAGTGTTATTGTCCTATTTTCTTTCCATTTAATCCTTCCTTTACGTTTCTTTTAACATGAGTTGCCCCTGAACTTTCGTTCTTCAAAATTTTCTTTTTACAGCTACAACGAACGAATGTATGGCTCAGCTGCGAATGCAGGTAGTCAGTTTGACTACGTTCACGGTATGGACGAGAACAACTTCCAGCTGGTACGTTGAATACATGTATTGAGCGCACTTCAGCTGAGGGGGCATTTTCCACTTTCGCTGCTAACCCATTGTCGTGCCAACCTTCAGGTAGAGGTTTGTGAAAACTTGTGAAACCATGAAATGATGAAAGGGAGAATTTGTTACAACTACTTGTCAACTCTTGTAAAGCCGTGAACTCGAGAAGGGAAGCAGCGACAGTGGAAAAAGCCCCCTCTCAGCTTAACTGCGCTCATATATCGCTCAAGGCTACATCAGCGGAGAAGAAATATTCCGAAATTTGACAGGTCGACTCGTCGAAGCCCGTTCAACGTAATCCGCAGCGCAACTACCGCGCACGTCAATTGCAATTCAAGAAATTGCTGCAGAAAGACCAGGAAAGGCGTGAGCAGGCGCTACAGGGACAAAATCTGAAGATGAAGCGAAGTATCGCCAAGTCAGTGCTTCGCATATTTTTGGCTGATGTTTTCGATATTTTTCCTATCTGGAGGTTTCTGTGTTTTTTTTTCTCAATAATTCGTCACGTTCAGAGAGCAGCAGCGCGCGTTCAAAATGTGGCAACGTCGTGGAGGAAATGCTCGTCAGGGGCAACGTGGTCCTGGAGGACGTTATCCTGGAGAAAGGCCTAAGGTTGGTTTTTAGAGTGCGTTTATGCTTTGCGCCGGCGTCTCCAGTGACTAGGAAAGCGTAGGTATCGATCTGCGCAATGGTACGCTTAAAGCGCTAGATCGATATTCATACTTTCCTAGTTGTTCAAATGTTGCCGTACACGTAAAATGCTGGCTCAAAGTATGAACGAACTTTTACATTCAGCAAAACTAGGCAACTTGTCTGTATACTTCGGTAATCTCAGGATCGCCTACCATCGGTGCAGGTGCGTCCAGAATGGCAAGTCCTAGAAGAAATGGACTTTCCTCGTCTTCTTAAACTCAATTTACCTGGAGTAGGCACTGGAGAAGATATTGGCAAACATCTCTATGGAACCATGCACTTCTATGATAAGGTAGGGTGTAAATTACCTGATTGCTATAGTTTTCCTTGTCTCCATGGGAGGCTAATTCCAACAAGGGCAGGAATTACTGGGCGACGACCAAGACAATCGTAATCTTCCGCTTCATCGCGCGCGAGTTTTCTTAATTTGCATTAGCCTTGCGAGTGTAGGACCGGATTTGATGTAGACTACAAAACCTGATATTTGTTAGATATCGGAGCGGTCTAAGACCTACCGCGAATATAATTTTGTTTACAGTAACAACCATTAGTGATCTCGAACAGTATATAGATCCGAGCGGTGTAGTTCACCACAGTTCAGTTTCCTTAATAAACGTCTCTACCTACCGCCGTCTACACACACACTCCGCGACACAACAATATTTTTCCTACACTGGTCTCACGTTGTTGATTTTGGCCATCTACGATCTAAAAATATAGCCATTTGTGGGCGCGACATCGCGCTCGACGCTCTCCTGCGCGGCGAACTACGATTGTCTTGTCCTACCAGGAGTTACATGGGTTTCATGAAGCTGAAGTAGTTTTTTTTCGCTTGTGGAGAAGGTTGCTGTAACAAGTTTGTTTTCAGGCCATTGATCGTGTATCTG